CTCGGGTATCTCGGGAAGGCCATGCCAAGGCTTGCCGATCTCTTCCACCAACCCTCTGTGCCGGCCGACCTCTGCGCGGGGAGAGCGGCGGTGCTTTGGTTGCTGCAGCTGCACCGCGCCCTCGGCGTGGAGGATGAGGTGGGCTTCCCGCAGATTGTCGTACACACCGACTGCCAGTACGTTGTGGGCATCGCGCAAGGAGGCGCATCTCTGGCCACTTAAAGGCCGTGCTCCATCGCCCTCGACGGTCTCACGAAGGTCCTGAGGCACATCACCGTCTACGACTGGCAGCACGTGCCAGGCCACATGGCCGACGGGTGGAACGAGCTCGCGGGCACCATCGCGACGCTCGCCAGGGGTGGCATCATAGAGGCCCAATGCGGCGACCAGGTCTGGGACCAGTTGTTCGCCCACCTCCAGGAGGTCCCATGGCTATGCTAGCGGCTGCCCCCCTAACGTCCGCCCCCAGTTTCCTTCCCCTGGAGGTGAGGTCCCCAAGTTGGATCCGTCGGCCCACGGGCTCAGGCAGCTTCTTGAAAGTCGACTGTCCAGGGCCCCTGCAGGGAGGGGGGGGAAGGGGGCAGCATCCAGCCAGCTCAGTGCTCAAGCTCGCCGTGGCCAGTGTCCTCGCGCTTGACCCCACCAAGGAGCCAGAGGGCAAAGCCAAAACCTTCGCAGGTGTGATGCTCCCGGGCAGGGTGCACATGCTGGCAGGTCAGTTCGGCCTCTGCGGGTACCAATTCATCGGCACCCAGGAGACGCGGGTCCCGAAGGACTCCCTGATCAGAGTTGGCGACTACCGCATCTAGCATGCTGCCGCCACGGCCGAAGGGCAGCTCGAGGTCTCCCTCTGGGTCAACATCAAGGCAATGTTGGGGGAGGGCACGCCGCTCAGCGGCAGCAGCGTGGCCATCCTGCACACGGACCCCCCCAGGCTCCTGGCCAGCATCAGGTCCGCAAGGCTCAACATCGACATCTTCGTGGGCCACGCTCCGCACAGCGGAGCATCTCCTGCCGCATGTACAGAATGGTGGCAGGCTGCGGAGAAACTTCTGAAGCGCAGAGATGTAGGGCTCAGGTAGAAGACCTCTGCGCGAACAGAGGCTTCAGTGCAAGTGTCCTTGCGATGGCCATGGTCTCCACCGCGCAGGGCCACTACGCCCTGATGGTCCACCATCTGAGTAGTCCACCAGAGAGCGCCGTTGATATCCAGGAGCATAGAGCTGACCACCTACGGCCGGCTCCGCTACCAAGTTTGAAGCCAATTTGGAAACCCAACCAGATACATCGCCTAAGGCGAAGTATGCGTCCAAACTTTTTGAATCGTACCAGCGATAATGCCAAAGGTAGGACATGGCAACGTGAGCGGCGAAGGAACACCTCAAGAGTAAAGGGCGGAACCTTTTCTGACTCGATGTAAGATAGCGGGCCGCGGTGCGACCCGGTCAACTGGGCGGCCGGTCGCTTGAGCCCAAGCGGCCGCGGACAAACGCTCGATACCTCGCCTTTGTCCCTCCTCCTTCAGAGTAGAGGGTCCCCAATCGCCAAATGATCGGTCCAAAACGCATTGACGCCCTCCAGACTACGCAGGAGGCCTCTACGACGCCTCAAGACGCCTCCAAGAGCACTCCCGACAGGACCCAAGAAGTCAAACGCATTGATGTCCACTTTTTGGGGGTTGTATATATAAATGAAGAGTTGGGCGTTCTTCGCCGTTTCCACTTCCTGCCGCTCCAAAACGGCGCAAGAGGCCCCCGAGATCGCCCCGAGACTGCCCAAGAGGTCTCCAAGAGGGCGCCAAAACACCTCAAAAGGACACCAAGACACCCCAAAACGCCTCCAAGACGACCCAAGAGGCCCCAAAGACGGCTCCAAGAGCATGCCCGGACGGGGGACCCGAACGGACACTTCGAGCCCTCGGCCCCAAGAGGCTCCCAGGAGGTCAGTCCCAAGAGATTCCCGAGAGGGCCAAAGAGGCCCGCAAGATGTCCCCAGGAAGCCCGAACCCCGAGGAGGCCCCAAGAGGCTCCAAAGATGCCCCCAAGAGGCTCCCCAGAGGCCCCCCAAAAATTCCTCCCCAGAGGCCCACGAGAGACTTCCGAAGAGACCCCAAGAACCGTCCCTGAGGAGTCTGGCCCACGTCAGCGTCGTCGTCGTTGCTGCCGCCGCCGTTGTCGTCGTCGTCGTCGTCGGAGTTGTCGTCGTCGTCGTCGTCGTCGTCGTCGTCGTCGTCGTCGTCATAGTCCTCTCCCTTCAGGGTCGACGGCAGCGGCTGCAAAACCTTCGCAACAGCAATAAACCTCCCGTCGTGATTTTTGTTCACATAGCGAGGGGGTCCGGTCTGGGTCCCCTCCCAGCCTCCCGCTCCCACGGGTCGACTCTCCCCGTCTCTGACTACCTACCAGACCACCCCAACCCAACCCGAAGACCCGAATTTCGGGTTGGGGGGGGGTACGGGTTCCATACGTGTTTTCCAACTCCAACGTTCCCAGATCCCCCCCCCCCACACTGGAAATGGAGGGCAAGTTGAGGCCTTCGGGTTGGGTTGGGCTGGTTTGGTGGGTGCTGACTCTCGGCGTGGGAGCTGACGGGCCCCGAAGGATTTGGACGCCCGAAATGGGTACGGAAAGGATGGGTACAATGCCCAACAGCAGTTCCTGTTCATTCTGAACAGGACTCGCTGTCGGTGTCGCCGCGGCCCGTGCCCATTCGAGACAGAAGGCCGCCTGCCCAACAGCAGCCGCTGTTGGTTTGGGACAACATGAGTTGTTGGGCATTCTGCCCATTCTTTCCGTGCCCATGTCGGGCGTCTGAACAGGATCCGCTTTCCTCAGGGCCCGTCTCCCTCCGTGCCTGCAGTCGAGACGCGGACCCGAGGACCACCTTGGGCTCGGGGACGGCGCTCTGGCTTTCGGGCCGCTCCCGAGATCCAGGTCGGGGAGCCCCGTCCGCGGAGGAGGCTGGCCGTGGAGAGGAGAGTCCCATTTCGTACCCAGTCTTTCCATACCCATTTCGGGCGTCCAGAAAGGAAGCCTGCCCCCCCCCCCCCCCCCCGCGGTCCCCCGGCCTCCCACGCCGAGAGTCACCACCCACCAAATCAGCCCATCCCCAACCCGAAGGCCTCAATTTGCCACCCATCTCCAGTGTGGGGGGGGGGGGGGGGTCGGGGGACGCTGGCCTGCGCGAAGCGCGAAGCGCGAAAAACTTCGCGCTCTCGCGCCGCCTCCCAGGGGAGTTAAGAGGCGGAAGAGGAGGAATCGGAGCCGAACCGCGACGCGCGAATAACTTCGCGCCATCGAGGGCGCCCTTGAGGAAGCCAGCCCCCCCCCTCCGGTCCCCCGGCCTCCCCCGCACCACACGGGGCCCCGCGGGCCGGCCCCCGGGGCTCCCGAGGGCCCAGGCTGGCGCGCACGACCCAGGACCTCGGCGCCCCGGGCCGGGCTCTCGTCCTCCATTTCCTCCATGTCCTCCATGTCCTCCAGTTCCTCCTCCTCCTCCTCCTTCTCCTCCTCCTCCTCCTCCCCGCCTCCTCCTCCTCCTCCTCCTCCTCCTCCTCCTCCTCCTCCTCCTCCTCCTCCTCCTCCTCCTCCTCCTCCCTCCTCCTCCTCCTCCTCGTCCTCCTCCTCCTCCTCCTCCTCCTCCTCCTCCTCCTCCTCCTCCTCCTCCTCCTCCTCACACTCTCGGTGTGGCAAAATGACGACGGGAGGTTTTTCGCTACTTTCGGCCTTGGAGAGCCCCCGCTGGGCCTCGGGACTGTCAAGCAACGACTCAAGAGGAAAATCCGGTCCCAAGGAAGGGATCGAGGCCTCTGGGGGTCGACGTTGTGCGAGAAAATCACGACGTCGGGGGGCCCTCGGTGGCCTCTTGGGAGCCATCTGTGGAGGCCTCTTGGGAGCCCTTTATGGGGCCTCTCGGTGCGTCTCGAGGGCCTCTGGAAGGTCTCTTTGGAACTCTTGGAGGCCTCTGGGCGCCTCCGTCGCCGTCGTCGTCGTCGCCGTCGTCGTCGTGGGTTGTGGAAAATCGTTTTTCTGACAGCCCCAGGTCCCGAGGGAGGGCCCCGGGGTCCTAGAAGCGCCGGAGCGTCGCACGGATCCGGCGCCCCTCCCGGCTCCACGGCAAGCCTGGCTCTCGACCCTCTTCTCGACCTGCTCCTCGCTCCTCGCTCCTCCTCGCTCGACCCTCCTCGCCCCTCCGCCCTCGAGCCCTCCCCCCTCGAGCCTCCTCCCTCGATCCTCCTCCTCGATGCTCCCCTCGATCCTGCTCGCCCTCGATGCTCCTCGACCCGCTCCCCGCTGCCGCAGCGGGCGGGGGCGCGGAGAGGGCGCCGCGCACGTGCCGAGGGCCGCCGCCGTTGTCGGGGGCGGCCAAGGAGGGGGGGGGGCGTCCGAGAGGGGGGGGCGCAAATCGTGGCCGGCGGCATGTGCGCTGCCCACAGGGGGGGGGGAGGGGCCAGGGACGTCAATGAGATAAGCAGCGGCGCCATGATATCTGGGGATTCGGCGGTGGACAAACCTCCCGTTAGTAAACCTCCCCTTAGTGAAACCGGCCTGGGACCGAAACCGACGGACCTGGACCCGCAAAAATGACGGCCGCGACGCCCTCTCGCGAACCGAAAACGGCCAATTCCTATCCACCTCCGAGGGAGATACCGCGGTCCACGCCATGATATCCACCCCCCCTGGTCATCGCCCCCCCGTAGTTGCCGCCCCCGACATTGGGGTTAAGCCGGGCTTGTCCCTCTACAAGAGGAGTATTCAAACATAGTCAAACGTAGTATGGGGACGATTTGTTGTATGTATGTTTCCTTCCAGCAGAAGAGGTCCGCTCTCGCCCCGCAGACCAAAAATGTTTGGACCATTTGGGGGCGTTATTTGAGTATGTATTATTTCTCGTCGAACATTTCTCTGTAGGGAGACACGCCCGACTGAACCTTGGAGGGAGAGGACAAGCCGCGGCCAGAGCGCCGGGGGGGGGGGGGCGGAGGGGGGGGGGGTCGCGGCCTCGAGGGGCCCGTGCAGGCCGTACTTGCCTGGCTGGGTCGGGGAGGAGCGAGGACCGAGGACGGTGGAGGAGGTCGAGGACGGGAGGAGGAGGAGGAGGAGGAGGAGGAGGAGGAGGAGGAGGAGGAGGAGGAGGAGGAGGAGGAGGAGGGCAGGGGAGGATCGGCGATCGAGGCGCAGCGAGGGGGCCGGGGTTGGGTGGAGGGAGGCGGCTCGAGGGCCGACGGGGGGTCCCAAGGGGGGAGTCGCGGAGGGCCGAGCAGGAGGGGACCGAGAGGGTGCCCCTGCGAGGGCCAGTGCGCGGCACGACGCAGAGCCGCCGAACGCGCGGGTGGCCGACGTCTGCACCTCGCCAGCGCGCGGGCGGCCGTGCCCCGCGCGCTGTTCGAACTCGTGCGTGCACGTTTTGGTTTAGCGAGACGACCTCAGAGGCTCCTCGATGACAGGCACACGTCCGAGCAGCGTCAAGATCCGTGCGTGCCTTTTTTTGCTTTAGCGAGATGACCTCCTCTCGGGCTGGGCGAGAAGGGGGGGATCGCAAAGGGGGGGGGGGAGAATTAGCTCACGTAGCTGGTTTTCCCGGCGCTTCCCGGCGCCAGAGGCGCCCATGTATCAAGGAATGGGCCCCTCGGTGGGGTCGAAACCAGCTGCATGCAGCAAATTTCGTACCCCCCCCTTTCCCAATCCCCCCCTTTCGTCCGCCCCGAACCTCAGATGCTCCTCGATGGTCCTCGCCGGGGAAGCATGCACAGGTCCGAGCAGTGTCAAGATGCAGATCCACCTCCCCGTCCCCCTCCCTCCCCCTCAAGACGAGGCCAGGACGACGATGAACTCGTGTGAGGACAAAACGGGAATCGTTGAGATCCAGCGGCTCGGGAAAACTCGGGCGCCGCGGACTTCTCAGAGAGCGCTCCGGAACGCCCTGCATGGAGCGCTCTGGAACGGATCTTCCTCGTCCTGGCGCCGTCCGACCCCTCTTCCTGTGAATGGTCTCCTCCGCTCTGGGGGCCGGGAGGGGGGAAGGGGAGGAGGAGGAGGAGGAGGAGGAGGAGGAGGAGGAGGAGGAGGAGAGGAGGTCGAGGAGGCGGAGGCGGAGGAGGAGGATGAGGATGAGGAAGAGGATGAGGAGGATGAGGAGGAGGAGGAGGAGGAGGAGAGGGAGGAGGAGGAGGAGGAGGAGGAGAGGAGGAGGAGGAGGGGGAGGAGGAGGAGGAGGAGGAGGAGGAGGGGGAGGAGGAGGAGGACGAGGAGGAGGACGAAGAGGAGGAGAAGGACGAGGAGGAGCAGGAGGGATGGAAGTGGAGAGGTGGATCGGACGCGCTGCCCTCCTCCGAGAGCGCTCGGGAGCGGTTCTGCGGCCAGGTGCTGGAGCGCCCTGGGTCGCTCGGCTTGCTTGCGGGGCAAGGATGTGTTCATGCTCGCTGCCTGGGAAACCAGCGTCCCCAGATCCTCTCGAGCAATGAAAAGAATCACGACGGGAAGCTTTTCGCCATGTTCGACACTTGGGGTCCCCTACCGGGCCGCAACACCGTCAAAAGACGAGTCAGGACGAACAACCGGTCCCTGGGATGGGGTCGGGACTTCCAGGGACCGCGAATTAGAAAAATCAGGACGTCGCATATCTGGGGTTCATGTGCGCCGCCCGTGGAACTGGCGTCTTGGGACCCCCGCGGGCGTTGGACATGGACGAGTGCATGAAAAGCGACCCCAGCCGCCCCCATGAGGAACTTTAGACCAAGTGTGCAGCAATGGCCTCGCTTACAGGGCGCCTACACGTACGCAGCTTCGCCACAGGTGCAAACCGTTGACATAGAGAGTCAATACCTGCGGGGGCTGGGGGGGGAGGGGTCCCACTGTTCAGTGGATGCGGTCTCGAGCTTTTGCTCCGCGTCTCGCAGCGGCGGCCCCGGCGACACGCTATGCCCTGCAAGCGGATAGCGTGTCGCTCCGCTCCGCAGGGCGGGAGGCTCGGGAACGCTCGGGACGTTGACGCCTGGGGACCCGGAAATGGATAGCGTGTCGCGCCGAAGCGCGGTGTGCCAGAACCGGTAGCGCGACACGCTATCCAGAAGTTCCCACCCGTATCTCCATACTCGCCGCCTGGGGAACCGACGTGCTGGGACCGCCTCGGGCGGTGAATATGGATATGTTTCGGCCCCAGGGGGCCCGAATATGTCCGTCTCCCCCATGCGGTGGTAATGGATGGATCCCCACCTCGCAGAACAGGGCAGAGAAGGGATCAGTTGTGTTATGTGGCAGAAGGCCCACGTGTCCGAAGCCCGCAAGTCGCGGCTGTGCGTCGCTGGTGCTCGGGAACTAATGTTGAGCTTTAGCTGCGAATGCTGCGTCTGTGCAAGTTTGGAAGCATTGCCCGTCTCTGGGAGAAAAATGCCTGAGAGGGAGGGCAAGGCGTCCAGTTCTTCAGCTCTTCCGGCCCCCGCCAGGGGAGCAAGAAAGCGGCGACAGCTGCGCGCCCAGCGCACACACGGGTGGGCGACGTCCCCTCTGGGCCTGACGGACGGCCACGTCCTCCTCCTCCTCCTCCTCCTCTTCCTCCTCCTCCTCCTCCTCCTTCCCTCCTCCTCCTCCTCCTCCTCCTCCTCCTCCTCCTCCTCCTCCTCCTCCTCCTCCTCCTCCTCCTCCTCTGTCCGCGTGCGTCACTACCCCGCTTCACCGCCCCAGGGGGAGAAGCAGCCCGGCGTCCGCTGCGCGCCCGGCCGCACCCGCGGGAACAGGCGGGTTGTTGTCTGGCCCCGCGCGGCACCTCCCCGCGCTGGACACCCCAGGGGCACGGGGAGGCGGGGACGGCTGCACGCCTGAGGGCACCTGGGGAGGACGAGGTCTCGTTCGAGCCTGCGAGTGCCACCGTTCCCGCAGGCTCCCCCGAACCACGAGTGAGCGGGCCTGTTTTGGAGCAACCTGCGCTGTGCACACTGTGCGGCCTCTTCCTGCAGTCGACTGTAGGCCAAACCGAGCCTGGGCCGAGCAAAGCCTGCGCAGCAGGACGTAGTCTATCACGTGCGACATGCGCAACTGGTCCGAAGCAATCAGACACAAGCTGCAATCAAATTGATTACGCGCCCCATTGACCCACAACTGCTTTGCTGTTCCAACCAGTGTGAAAGGCCCAACAAGACGCGACTCCAACTTCCAGAGGAGCAAAAGGGCCCTGCTAAGACACTGGGATGCTGTGAACGACTTCGTCACAGAAGCTTGGGCACGGAAACCTCGTAGACAGCGACGGACATGTGCATCGATAGGCGCGTACGGTAACCTGCTCCCTCTCAAGGTGCACGCGCTCGCTCGCATGGGTTCACACATTGACGCAAGACGTATGCTGTGTCAGCCCGAAGGCAATGTGGTCTGAAGCAATTGCTTCATGATTACGAGGCTCAGACTCACACTGTGGTCAGACCAACCGGCAGGGCACAATTGTTGATGTAGGTGCCGCCCTCGACCTGCAGCGCGAGGAATCCAGCAGCCACGGCAACAACGCAGCAACCAGTGAGACAAGGATGACACAAGAGCGGATCATGAAGTGATTCACACGGGAGCCGAGACGCAGGGCCAGGCGAACTCCGGGGCAAACCACCAAACAGCGGATGACAAACAGATGATGCACTTTCTTGGGCCGAGCATCTGGGTCGTGCTCCATGAAGTCTAGACCGAAGAACTGTAGCATGAGGCGTCACCCGTGTTCCTATGATTACACCGCCCCGTGCCGCCATCCAATACTGCAACATGGGATGGGGACTGAGGGTTCAGTCGGGCCTGTCCCCTACAGGGGGATTTGAGGAAACATAAGAAATACTCCAAAACATAGTCCGAAAATAATCCCAAAATAGTATGGGGACTATTTTTTGAATATTGTTTGACCTTCTTGGGGTATGTTTGGGTTTTTTTTTGTATTTTTCGTCGAAAATCCCCCTGTAGGGGAAAACGACCGACATAAACTCAGTGAGAGAACCGCTGACATGTCGAGGACGGCGTTCCCTGTCTCACTATGACTATGAACACATGACCTTCACTGTGCAAGGCCTCGAGACCGTGACCGATTGATCAAACAAAGACAAACAACAGCAAAAAAAAACATGCTTTGACGCGACCACGCCGCGCCCGACAAGCGTACGGGGCCATGTTGCGCGCTCAACGCGTTCCTTTTTCTGCTGTTGCCGCTGTCTCGTCAACGTAATGTCAATCACACTACTCCGCACCCTCCTCCCAAGACGGAGGCGAAAGTCTAAGTTCTGACATTGCAGAGACTGGAGGGAGCACGAGGCACACACCCGACGGCTGCCAAAACACAGCCAATAATGCCACAACGCGTGTATCTCTGCGCCGCAATTGCCAACGTCTCGTCCCTCGATATATCCTCCCATGTTTCGTTACTCTTGCCTCTTCCAGACACTGCATGTTCCTCTCTGTCTCTCTTCCTCCCTTATACAAGTATATCTATATATACATATATACATATCTGTACCGCTATCACTCGTTCTCGCTCTATCCCTCCCCGTCCGGAGTGTCATTCCCTTGTTACTTTGAAGACGAGGGACCTTTCCTTACGGTCGATAACTTGTGTTTCGCGTGCCGCGACTGCGACCCCTTACGAAACGATACTCCGTGCAAGCGAACAGAGTGTCGCTCCGCTCCGACGGACGGGAGATTGGAAAAAACTTGGAACGTTGACTCTTGGAGAAATGGATGTGCTTAGCGTGACGCGCCGACAATTCCTGACCGTAACACCTGCCCGCCACATCAGTGTTGCCAGCCGCAGGCGAACCCGATCCCTGCAGATTGGATTTTTTTTTGAAAATCCGCCTTCGGTGCAGACTCCGGAGGTCTGCGGCCAAAGGAGCCTCAACGGGGGTGTCTTGCGCCCCAGCGGGCCCGCGGGGGGGATAGGGCTCGCAAGTGGCTGCAGAAATGGCTGGCCGAAATGCCCGACTGTTTTTGTTGAAGGGGCCACGGGACACGCACATCGATAGACACAGACCACGGGAGTCCCTATATTCTCCGATCTTTCCTGGAGGTCCCGCTCTCTTGTCCTCCGTGTTCGTCTTCCCCCCCCCACTTCGAACGAAGGATTGCAAAGGATTGCAATCCTTCGTCGAAGGGTTCTGTTTGCAATCCTTTGCAAAGGATTGCAATCCTTCGTCGAAGGGTTTTTTTGAATCCTTCGTCGAAGGGTTTTTTTGCAATCGAACGAAGGGTTTTTTTGCAATCCTGGGTTTTTTTGCAATCCTTTTTCCCCGCGTGTCCCCGGGGATCGAGGCCTTCCTGTGCCCCTGCGCGCTGCTTCCCCCTCCTGACCTTCGACCCTCCCCCCTGCTCTCCCTGCAGCGCCCGCTCCCCCCAGCGCTCCCTCGCCCTCCCCGCCTCCGGGGCCCTGGGACACACAAATAAGCACACACAAACAACAAGATTCCCCTTGTCTTTCCGTATGTTCTGGGTTTCTGTCTCTCCCCCCCACACTTCCCATATGTTCCCATACTTTCTGGGGAATCGGCGATTAAATTGGGGGGGATACAGAAAGGGAGCGGGATGGCGAGTGGAGCGGGGGCGCGAGCCAAGGAAATAAGCACCGAAAGGACTGGAACAGAGGGTGGGGTGGAGGGAGAAGAAGTGCCGGGAGAGGAGGGAGAAAGAACAGTCGGACCTACAGTCGGACTCGATTGGGCAGGACACGCGAGAGGACACAAGACCCTTCCGAGGGCCACATTGCCACAGGAATGTAAAAAGCATGGGTCGCGAGACACAGGACGCGAGGGTACCCTTTATTTGGCATGGTCGACCTACTAATCTGGGGCGACTGTAGATCAACATAAGATCCTTCAAGAACACATGAGGACCCCCACGCCGGCCAACACATACAGAACGTCCAAGGGTACCCTCCCCCAGGATACACCAGAGCTGCCAACGGACCCAAAACAACAGTAGGGTACCCTCCCCGAGCGAACCTCGATATTCTACCTCGGTCCGACTGTAACGGGAGGGGGGGAGCGGGAAGAGCGGCTCGGCAGCAAGCCCAGGGGAAACGGCTGGCAAGAGAGGATCTCCTCAAAGGCCTCAGAAGGCCTCCAGCCTCCCGAGACGCTCACTAGAAGCTTCCCCGAAGACCAGCCAGGAGGGCTTCTGCCTGGAAGGCACGATTGCTTCGGAGAGACCCCGCCGCCTTCCGAGAACACCCGCCCCCTTCCTCCCTCCTGCAGCTGCTCCTCCTCCTCCTCCTCCCTCGTGCTCTCCTGCTCCTCCTCCTCCTCCGCCTCCCTCCCCTCCTCCCCCCCGCCCCCCTCCTCCCTCCCCTCCACAATTACTCAATATGAATATACTCTCCCTCTTCCCCTGATGGCGTCCGGGTGATGGCCGCGCACCCTCCGCGTACTGTTTTTTAACACACAGGATGCCCGGGAAATCCTGGGAAACGACTCTCGCTGAGGCGCCGGCGTCATTTTTTCCCAAAGTGCTGCTCTCGCGCCGGCGTCATTTTTTCCCAAAATGCTGCTCTCGTTGAGGCGCCGGCCTCATTTCTGCTCCCGAATCCTTCCCCTGATGGCGTCCGGGTGATGGCCGCGCACCCTCCGCGTATTGTTTTTTAACACACAGGATGCCCGGGAAATCCCGGGAAACGACTCTCGCTGAGGCGCCGGCGTCATTTTTTCCCAAAATGCTGCTCTCGCGCCGGCGTCATTTTTTCCCAAAATGCTGCTCTCGTTGAGGCGCCGGCCTCATTTCTGCTCCCGAATCCTTCCCCTGATGGCGTCCGGGTGATGGCCGCGCACCCTCCGCGTATTGTTTTTTTACACACAGGATGCCCGGGAAATCCCGGGAAACGACTCTCGCTGAGGCGCCGGCGTCATTTTTTCCCAAAATGCTGCTCTCGTTGAGGCGCTGGCCTCATTTCTGCTCCCGAATCGTTCCGGATCGTGCTCCCGCTGCAGCGTGGGCCTCATTTTCGGATCGGTGTTTGGCCTCCGTCGTTCAGGATGGCGTTCTCGCCCCAGCGCGGGCCTTTTTCTCGCGCGCCCATCCGCCCGCCACCACCGCGCCGCACCGCCACCACCACCACCACCACCACCACCACCACCACCACCACCACAACCACCACCAGCACCAGCACCAGTACCAACACCACCACCACCAGTACCAGCACCACCACCACCACCAGCACCACCCCCACCACCCACCACCACCACCACCACCGCCACCACCACCACACACAACCACCACCAGCACCAGCACCAGTACCAGCACCACCAACCACCACCACCAGCACCACCACCACCATCACCACCACCACCACCACCACCCACCCACCACCACACCACCACCACCACCACCACCACCACCACCACCACCACGACAACCACGCACACACGCACGCACGCACGCACGTGCACCACCACCCACTACGCACGCGCGCGCGGAGCCACAGGTCCGCTACGACACGCGTCCGCGGATAGAGAAAATCAGCGCCATGGTAAGGGATGGGAGGGAGGGGTAGGACGTCAGATATGACGCGAGCGCACCTAGCTTGTCCTCCCCCCTCCCTCCCCCCCCCAGGTCCTCATCTCCCCCGCGCCTCAAGATCGGCCCACGTCAGGGCGCGCGGTGGAGGAAGGGACCGCGGGAGGAAAGACGGAAGGGGGCAGAAGAAGGCGCGAGGGCGCAGGGTGCAGGAAGGGGGGTGGGAGGGCAGGAGCAGCAAGGGCGCGGAGAGGGGGGAGGGGGGAGGGGACGGGAGGGGAGGAAAAAGGGGAGGGTGGAGCAGCCCCGTGTGCCGTCCACAGCGCGGGGGCCTCCGTGTGGGTCGTGAGGATCACCCTCAGGCGCAGGGGGAAGAACACGGCATCGGGGTCGACCTTCACGGTCCAGTTGTGCTCCTGGCCCGGAGGGAAAGACGGGGACCCAGGGATTGAAATTGGATGATGGAAGGGAGAAGGGAGGAATGAGGCAGACGAACAGTCCGGCAAGGACTGAGGATGAGACAGGAGAAGAGGGGAAGATGGAGGATTAAACCGAGAGGGCGATGAGGCGAAGTATGCACTATCGCCCAACATGGGGTACGGCTCTCGTTGAGCAGGTTCAATCCGAGCTAGGGGGCAACTGGAAAGCCAGGGGGAAGAATGAGTCAGACGAGACAAGAGAGGCAGATCAGAAGGAAGAGGAATATGCGCCCCGGGCCGAACGCTTTTCCTGGTACGGGGGACTGTAGATGCCTATGTGTGTGTGGTGGAACTTGCATCATGTGGGTGCCGCCTGTGAGAACATCGTGGGCACGATTTCTGACTTGTCTACACGGCCCGTACTGGGTCAATCCCCATCAGAGAGTTGAAGGGTACCCTGAGGCTGTTTGCCAACACTATGATTCCATGGTGGACGGGAGGTCGCAGACGCCGTCGCCGTCATTGGCGCCGTGGTCGTGGCTGCTGTCGCGGCTGTCGCCACCGTTGCCGTCTTCGTCGCCGTCGCCGTCGTCGCAGTCGGCGCTGGAGAGTCCCGCGCGTTCGGCCTGGAGGCAAGACTGCACGAGGAGGAGCGGGACCATGAAGGAGTCTGACCGGGAGGAGCAGGAGGCTACATAGCGAGGGAGCGATGCCTGGGCAGCTGGTGTTTCCCGACGGTGACCCTCCTCCTCTTCCTTTTCCTCCTCCTCCTCCTCCTCCTCCTCCTCCTCCTCCTCCTCCTCCTCTCCTCCTCCCCCCCCTCCTCCTCCTCCTCCTCCTCATCTTCCTCCTCCTCCTCCTCCTCCTCCTCCTCCTCCTTCTCCTCCTCCTCCTCCTCCTCCTCCTCCCCCTGTGCTGCTGGCGACTCTGTGCGTTGTACTCTGGGCACGCACGTGGCACGCTGTGGCCCACGGCGGCCTGCCGGGCCCACGCTGGCTCGCATGCGGGGCCACGGGGAGAAAATCCCATGGCGAACTCGAACAGGGAGGTTTGATTAGGGGGCCGCATGCGAACCCTACCCCTAACCCCCACACGATTTCTGAGGGAGAGGATAGGCGAAGTGAACCCCTACCCTCCCCCTCAGAAATCGTGGGGGGTAGGGGTAGGGTTCGCATGTGGTCCCCGATTGATATCGCCCGGCGCTCCGGCGAAGCAAAGCCGCAAAGGAAGTGACCGAGAACACGCGGCACGTAGCAGGATGGCGGTAGCCGGCGAGGGCAGGACAAGCGCGAGCGCCGGATGGACCTTCACGGGAGCCTCTCCGTGAACCTCCGCGGCCCAATCATGGAATAGATTTCGACAGGTCTCCGTCCAAAGTTCGACCGCCACTTTTCACGCTATCGTCTATAGTTCGTCCGAACTTCGTCCAGACGTCGACCAAATCTGACGACATCTGGACGATACCCTCAGACAACTCAGGATGTTTGGGACCCTCTGAGGCTCCCATGAAGGACCACACAGCACACGGGACGTATGACCTCTGCCCTGCTTGCAGAACGCTCGCTCCCTTGACATGGCACCATCGGCGAAGCGTGCGTCGACCCCCAACATGGGGGGGGGGACGCAAACGATGGGCAGGGGCAGGGAATGAGGTTAGAGAAGCATCGCGCCAAATTGCCCCCAGGAGGAGGAGGAGGAGGAGGAGGAGGAGGAGGAGGAGGAGGAGGAGGAGGAGGAGGGGAATGAGGAGGAGGAGGAGGAGGAGGAGGAGGAGGAGGAGGAGGAGGAGGGGGGGGAGGGGGAGGAGGAGGAAGAGGAGGAGGAGGAGGAGGAGGAGGAGGAGCTGACGCCTCAGCGTGCGCGCTTGGCGGCCTGGCTAAGAAAAGAGGAGGAGGAGACGGAAGCAACAACACTCTGCACGGTGCTCCTGGATCGGCGGAGGCCGAGGCGCCGCAGGGCGGGCCCAGGCACCGATCCGAGACGTCCGCGCGGACATCCAACGACTTATGGCTGTGGTGCTCTCCGTTCGAAGACTGTGGATATGTATGGCTATGTGTGGCTATTGTTATGGCCCTTTGTCGCTACGTATAGCTATGTACTGTTATCTGTATGGCCACGTATGGCTATTTATGGCTCCGATATCCAACGATATATTGCTATTCATGGCTACTTTACGGGCCGGGCTATCTCGTGCGAGCAGCGGGGATGGACAGACCTCCATTTAGTAAAACGTGGTCTCGTGAAAACGACCTCGGGCCCAAACCTGGCGGGCGCAAGCCTGGAAAATAACGGCCGCGGCGCCCTCTCGAGAACCGAAAACGGACAATTCACTAATCGACGTGTCAGGGTAGGAGGTCTGTCCACCCCCGACGAGCAGCGGGCCGGGCTCGTTCCCAAACATGGAGGCCCCCTCGGTGGGGTCAGAGCAGGTGGGGTCGGAGGATGGCGCCGATGCATCAGCGCCCCTTCTGGGAGGCCTGGACAGACCAACCTAGGGACAAAACCTTCCTCAACACACCCCCGGAAACGGTGAGATTGGCATCCAGGCCAGGGGCAGTCGCGGACTCAGCAGACGAGACACGCCTGTGGCGACGCCGAGGAGCACCAGCGTGGGGGGTAGGGGGGCTGGCGAAGGAGATCCATGGCGACGCAGGGCAACACCGAGGCCTGAGACACTCGGGGTCCATGACCTGAGAGGGAACGGCAAGGGTGACTGGCTCAGAGGGCGAGGCACCGCCCTGGAATCGGCGACACACCGCGACACACCGCCGATGGATCGGTGACGAGCAGGCCCCGGAGAGCAGCACCGCGGGCTCCTGGGTGGGGTGGGCTGTCAAGTCCCTCTCGGGCCGATGCATCCCCCCTTGAGCCGATCCCCCCCTGTCATTGCCCCTGGGGGGGCGTGGCCGGCGCGGGGAGCTTGAAGGGAAAACAGAGAGGAGGGCCAAAGACGAGACTCGACGCGGAATCGTCGGTGGACTCGTCAATCATGGACTTGACTCCTGGTAATCGCCAAACCGTGGATTACGCCTGAGGATCGGCGACGACAGGCGGGGACCATGACCAAGATCGGCGTCGAACAGATTCGGAGACATCTTGACCATGATCCTCGGCTTCTTCCCTCGGGAACTTAGGTGCCTCGATACGCCCGTTTTGAAACGCAATACGTCCCGTGTTCAAGACGCCCGTGTCGATACGCTGCGTGTTGGCTCCACGTATCGGACCACGCTTTGGCGAGTGCACCGCGTCGGACCCACGTCTTCAGCCTACGTAGTGAGCTCCGTATCAACACCATACGTGCTGCGTGTTGCGTACCGGGGCAGCTCAGCTCGGGAACGGTTGGCCACGCAGGGGGCCGCGCAGGGGCCAGTGGCAGTTGGGGGCAGGGTGGGGGCGGGCACTGGGCATCGCTCGGACGTCCACTCCCTGTGCTTTGTCGGTTTCGTGCGTCGTTTTTTCGCCAAATGATCCAGGATGCTCCTCGATGGGCCTCGCCGAAGGAAAAATGTACACGTCCGAGCGATGCCAAGGGCAGGAAAGGACTGGCTGCGACGCGGGGCGGGAGACGCTCGGGGGCATGGCCGGCGAGGACACCTGGCGGCGACGGGCGGCAGAGGCCCAGTGCCTGAGAGGGTGCCGTGCAGGGCTGGCGAAGACGATTGGCGGCGACGGGGCGCAGTCGTTCCATCGGCTCGTAGAAGCAGTCTTCGGCGCCAGCGCTGCTGAAAGAGAGAGCGGGCAGGGGCCAGAGAAGCGAGGAGGGCGTCGCCAGGTACACCGCGTCTTCCACGAGCTTCGTCCACAGAACGATGAAGATGTCGAGGTTCAGTGCGGTTCCGAACTCCCCCCCCATCTTGCACTTGAGGTCGCTGTCGATCACGGAGGCCTTCTTCGGTCCTCCCTCGCCGAGTGCTCCACTGAGCGGCGATGAAATCTCAGCTTGAGCCGACGGTCGCTGTTCCGATCTCATCCCCGCGGGATCCCAGACTTAAAGAAATCCAGCATCCATTCTGGATGATGTTCTCTGCACCTCACAGTCTCTCTGCCTCGCTCCTCACACATCCATCCATCCATGTCCCGTTGCGCAGTCGCCCCTACTCTCGGGCACGCCCTCACCTATATCGGCGGTGGACGAACCTCCCTTTAGTAAGCCTCCCCTTGGTGCAAACGGCGTGGGATCGAAACCGACGGACCTGGACCCGCAAAAGTAACGGCCGCGACGCGCTCCCGGGAACCGAAAACGGCCAATCCCTTAATCGACGTGTCAGGGTGGCAGGTCCATCCACCTCCGGACCTCTGCCAGGGGCCTCTGGATCCGGCGCGTGGTCGCCAGCTTCCCGGATCGGGGACCGCAGCCCCCGGAACATGGACACACTGGAAGCCTCCTGGGTGGGGTCGGGGCAGAGGAGGTCGGAGGATTGCGCCGCCTCGCCGATGCATCGGCGATGCACCGGCGATTTGTCGTCGACGTGGGCGATGCATAGGTGGCGTCGGCGTGAAGCAAATCGGGCTCGACGTCGAGCCGCATCGGCGATGCATCGGCGATGCGGCGCGATCCTCCGACCCCATGTTCTCCGACCCCATCAAGGAGGCCTAGAAACATGGCTCGGGTGCCGCCTGATTTGGCGACGCAACGCGCCCATTTGGTCCGGGAACGGCACCCGTCGGTAATCCACGCGCCTTGATCCATTTGTGATGTTTTGTCTCCTCCTCCTTCTCCCCCTCCTCCTTCTCCTCCTCCTCCTCCTCCTCCTCCTCCTCCTCCTACACCTCCTCCACCTCCTCCTCCTCTTCCAACCCCTCCTCCACCTGTTCCGACAGCACGTGCCCAACCACCCCAGCGGATCCAAGGGGGGGGTGGGGGGCGATTGGTGCCCCATCCAGAGTATGCTGCTGCGCGGCGTGGCCCGCGAGGGTCGCTGGCGGGGGAACAATCCTTCCGCAGGGCGGTGGTGCACCCCACGGGCAGTGCGCAGGGCGGCGCCCTGTCGTGGTGCTCCTGCATGGCGGGGGAGGGCACGCAATCCGTGGACGAGTCCGAGGAATGCCTCGAGATCCGGCCAAGAGGAGTCCCCGGACCCCCCTCCCGGGGCCCGAACCAACGAGCTCTTCGAGCCGCGCCCAGCCGCGGCCACGAGGGCACCCTGAGGCCAGAAAGTGCTGGATCTGGACTGTGGAGGTTGGAAGCCGATACTCGCCTCAAGTCAGGCATGTCCCCCTACAGGGGGATTTTGGGTGACAAATGAAGAATAGTCAAAACATGCCCCCAAATAGTCAAAAATGGTAAAACACATCGTCCCCAGACTATTGTTTGACTATTTTGGAACATCCCTCCTGCAGAGGGACAGGCCCGACCTAATTCTCGCCATTGGACGCCCGCCCGAACCTGCAGCCTCGGCCCTCCCGGGAGCTCGGACCACGACGCGCCCGGAGGGAACGGCCGCCGCTCGAGGCGAGAGTGGCCCAGCGCGGGAGCGCGAAGCGACGCAGCGGTGCGCTGTCGATGCCGGCGGCGTCGTCGTCGTCGTCGTGTTCCTCCTCCTCGCCGTCGTCCCCGTTGTCGTCGTCGTCCTCCTCCTCCTCTTCCTCGTCCTCGTCCTCGTCTTCCTCGTCCTCGTCGTCGTGGTCGTCGTCGTCGTCCTCCTCGTCCTCGTCCTCGTCCTCGTCCTCGTCCTCCTCGTCCTCGTCCTCGTCGTCCTCCTCGTCCTCGTCCTCGTCCTCGTCCTCCTCGTCCTCCTCGTCCTCCTCGTCGTGGTCCTCGCCGTGCCGCGCCGGGCCAAAGACATCGGGGACAAGTCGTTAGAACAAGGCGGGCACCCCCCAGCGGTGTGCGTGTCTGCAGGTCCAAGGCGGTGCCGCTGCCTGCGTATTTGTGCGGGCGTGGGCGCCAGCAGATCCACCGCGCTCGATGGCGGGAGGGGGGGGAGAGGTCGAGAGCCATCGAGCTTTGGCATTCGGGGGATGTTCGCCCAAATGTGCCGCAGATGGTGGCCAGAGAGCTCAACGAGTTCTCGGAGAAACCGTGGGGCGCCTGCTGGGACCTCGTCCGAGGCCCCTCGGGCACCGTGGGCGGCGGTCGGGGGGCCCCTTGAGAGCCCCTTGGAAGCACCTGGGGTCGATCGTGAATTCTCTGGAGGCCTCCTGGGGGGTCTCGCGGGAGCTTGTGCTGGGCCTCCTGGGGGCCCCTTGGGGGCGCCTCGCGGAAGCCACTGGGGGGCGTCCGCCCGGGGGGCCGGTTTGGGCCTCCCGTGGGGGTCCCGATGCGCGGGGGGGGGTCGACACGGTGGCTCGTGCTCCCTGCTCTGGGGCAGACCCTGGCCATCGCTCGGACGTCCGTTCCCTGTGCTTTTTGTCGGTGTCGTGCGTGGTTTTTCCGCCAAATCATCGAGGAGGCTCCTCGAGGGTCCTCGCCGGAGGAAACATGCACACGTCCGAGCGATGCCAAGGACCTTGGGCTTTGCCGGAAGGGTGCCTGGGCTGTTCTGCGAGAAGCCTCCTGGGCCGTCTGGGGAGGTCTGGGGCTGCCGGGGCGCCCACTCCGGGGCCTCTCGGGCCGTCTCCGGGCGGCTTTTGGAGGCGCCCGGAAGCCGAAAAGGCGAGACCTAGAAAAACCTTGGAACAATATGAGAAAGCAATGAATTCTACCGGTTGGAACCCACTTGGAGCGTCTTGAGGGCGATGTAGGCCGTCTTGGAGCTCTCGTGAAGCGTCAGGTAGGCATCTTAGGCCACCTGGATGCCATCACAGGTTTCTGGTAGAAAATGTTCGGCGACTCGAGACCCTCTTGGGCCGTCTGGGGTACCTGTTGGGATCCTTGTGGACCTGAGCCTTGTTGGACTGGCCAAGGCCACTGGGCTTCCCATGCGCTGTCGTGGCCCAAGCCGCAGGCCCCGTGGTTCTGTAAACCGACATGTGTGTATGTTTGTATGTCTGAATGCATGCGTGCATCAGTAGATATATATATATATGTGTGTGTGTGTGAGTTGAAAACAGTTATATAGTTATACTTATATATGTATATACAGATATGTATGTATAGGTGACCTCTCCTCTTCACCTGTCCCTCCCAAGTCCTCCTCTTCCTCCTCCTCCTCCTCCTCCTCCTCCTCCTCGTCCCACTATAACTCCTCCTGCTCCCCCCCGTTCTGCCATTCCAACTTCTCGACCTGGTCCCTGCCCCGGCCCTGCTCCTGAAAGCCCGAGCAACCGTGGACCCACCAGACGTGCGCTGCTCCTGGACCGCTCGCTGGTGCGCGCCGGCTCCCCGCACCCCGAGGCCCCGCCTATCGGGACCGCCTTGTTGCTATAGATCATCCAGTCGTCACAGTCGAACATGCCCGTGCCGCGACTCTCCTGGTCCTCCAGCAGCTCCTGCCCGGCGCTCCACTGGCGAGCGCAGGCTCCGCAGTCGCAAGGGGAGCGGGCGATCGGGCCGCGCACTGTAGGAGAACGGCGACCATGCACCGCACCGTGTCTGGAGGGGGAGGGGATCCTCCTCCTCCTCCTCCTCCTCCTCCTCCCCCTCATCGTCCACGTGCTTCCCCCCTCCAACTTGTGGCAGTGGTGGTGGAAAACAGGCCCAGCAACTTCAGGCCCCGCTCCTGCGCGGTACGGTGCATAGTTTGCTCGGCCCCGAGAGTCGCAAAACTGCGCACCGTAGCGTTCGCGGGTCGAGGATCAGCGACGCCTCGGGAGACGCCAACGCGGTTCGAGGCATCTAGGCCGTCCGCAGACACTGGGCTTTTGCAGAGCACAGGGGAGGAGACGAGCGTGCCCAGAGGAGAAGGATGAAGAAGAGGTGCCGTACGAAGAACGGGAATTGAAGGACGAATGCGTACGCCCGCGACCACACATGAGGCGGTTGCCCAGGCGACCACTATGTGGCAGGACTGCCTGGCCTTTACTGGGTCCAGGGCAGACGCATTGCGCTAGTCAACTGGCGGTGTGGGACGATTTCGCAGAGGAACTCATAGCTGGGACACGCGCCGCAGAGTTAAACTCACACCCCTCTTCCTTTGCGGGTGAAACGACCTCGCCAAGGAACCAACAAGTCCTTACAGGGAAATTGTATTGCGTGCCAGGATTGGCGGCTTCTGTTTGCCGCTATGATCCCACTGCTCCAAGTTGAAAACGCCCAACACATATCACAACCGACCACGGGATGACGAGTCACAAAGCCGGCAATAGGTTCAGTGGTCGACCTCTGCTAGGATGTCGGGTCGGGTCGCGGCCCTGTGAAAACAGGACCGTGGTCCGCCTTAGCATCGCCGACCCGCCGCCGCAGCAGCAACGGTAGCGCCACAACAACACTTGCGACCAAGGGGTTGTTGCTGCCTGAGGAGCAAGACGACGGTAATGGACGGGAGAGGAAACAACAGCACACGCGAACAAGGCTCCTATGGCAAGCACTGCGCGCGAGAGTTACGCTCCGCCGCACAAAACAACAATTGACGATCTCAGCGGCCACGCCAAATCTTCAGACGAGACTGAACACAAACACGTATGGTTCGGCCTTCCCACGTGCCAACACGCGCGCGCTGGGGCGAATAGGAAAGGGGGAAGGATCCGCAACAAGCATCCTGTACCTCAGGCTGGTTGGATGAGCCGGCTTTCTTGTAGGCCTACCACGGAATGTCCTCAGAACCCATACGTGTTCAAATGACAGAATCAATGCTCCCAGAACATACACCAGATTTGCTAAACCAAGACAGCCTCAACCAGACATGTTCTGAGAACATCCCGTGCAGACCGCAAACATGGTTATCCGAAGATTCGCTGGCGGGCCTCTCAGGTTATGTTGCTCCCATCGTACTTAAGGACCACATCCCAGCAATAATTTCGAGCACACAGAAAAGTGTCGAAAGAGCGCCGAAATAATGTCGAAACAGTGTCGGACCAATGTTTCCAAGGGCCCGACACGTGAAAACCCTCGAGTTTCGTTTTTTTTGCTGGGTGCTCGAATTATTTTCTGGTGAACAATGCTAAAGTAGGTCGGAACATCTTAACTCTTAGGCAAAGACAGGACGCTTCGCCACTGCGCGACACTGGCCCTCGCCGAGAAAGCTGCACACGTCCGAACGATGCCAAGCCCGTGGGTCCCCCAGCGCGCGCGCGACAGCGATCAGGCATGGCGGCCGGGCGGCCAAGAGCAACCCCCCTGGGTGCCTCAGGTGTCCCCTCACCTGCCGCCTCGTCGTTCGCTCCCCCCTCTGCGTTGGTCTCCTCGCCGTCGTCGTCGTCGTCGTCGTCACTTTGCCTTGCAGCACTTTCTCCGACCCTGCGCCGCGCCGGACGCAACGGCCACGTTGCCCGTAGACGCATCCACCCCGAACATGTCTACGGACGTCATGGCGCCCAATGTATGCATATACACGTTTGGCTAGCACGTGAGAGCGGTATTTTGGCATCGGCCCCAGATGTAGGTTTTCTGGAAGCAGGTATGTTAGGCCCCTCCACCCACGGCGAGACCCACTCTCTGCTCCTCCGCTCCTCGGCCGCCCCCCCCTCCGCCGTGCTTCCCTCGGCCAGGCGGCAGCCGCGTCTAAACATCTATGTTGGTTGCTATTTCCCCAGCTGCAGCTGCATTCGGAAGGGCTGCATGGTATCTAAGATGCCTCTCTGATCCGTATGTGTTGTACAGCGATTTCATGGAGAAAAGTAGATACGACTATAGATACACATGCTTCAAACATAGATACGTTTAGATACGATGTCTTATTTTTTCGATACGGGAGGTAAGGTTTCTTCCATATTGTATGTTTAGAGTTGTTTAGAGTTGTTTAGATACGGCCATCGCTGGTACACATGTCTACCACGAGTATATTCGAATATATACGGCGCCATGTCTCAACTGCCAGGCCTAGGCCGCTCAATGACCACGAAAAGGGAAGACAATACACATGCCAGTCAGGACGACGATGATGAGGAGGAAAGGGAAAAGGAGGAGGAGGAAGCGAAATGGGAAATCATGTACGGCGGGCGAGCCGAACGATAATGGGGACGAGGAGGACGAAGCAGAAGGACCATTTTCTTCAATCGATGATAGACTTCATCCCCGTCCTGACTCCCCCTCCTCCACGTTATCCTTTTGACGCTCCCTCCAACTCCACCTCGCTCCTCTTGCATCCTCGCCGTGCATCCTCATCCTCCTCCTCGTCCGCGCTCATCGTCCGAATCTCCTCCTCCTCCTCCTCCTCCTCCTCCTCCTCCTCCTCTTCCTCCTCCTCCCTCCTCCTCCTCCCTCCTCCCTCCTCCCTCCCTCCTCCCTCCTCCCTCCTCCCTCCTCCTCCTCCCTCCTCCCTCCTCCCTCCTCCTCTCCTCCTCCCTCCTCCCTCCTGCCTCCTGCCTCCTGCCTCCTGCCTACTCCCTCCTCCTCCTCGTCCTCCTCCTCCTCCTCCTCCTCCTCCACCTCTTTGCTCTCCCCATCCTACGGTCCCCTGTTCCGACCCAATTCTCTTCTAAATTTCGCGTCGTCGTTGTTATCCATCCTGCTCCTCGTCGTTTTTGTCGTCGTCGCTCGTCTCATAACTCATCATCGGTACGGCTTCCCACTATCCCCATCCCGTGTTTCATTGTTTCGGCCAATATCATGGATCTTGTTCGCGCCGAGGGCACAGCCAACAGCATTCGTTGCACGACGTCGCCATGTACGCTGGAAGGCGTTAGAGCGCAAAGCCCTAGTGTGCCATTGCGGCTACTAGGCAACACGCCGCAACGTGAGTATGGGGGTCCAGCGGTTGATTCTGTGTCTGGCACGGACGGGAAGGAGGAGCGCTCGAGAGCACTGCGTCCGATGGCAAAGCTACAACAGACTCAACAGTCAAACGGCACCCGATAGGACGAACGACAACGATAATATGCACATGGGCATGCATGGCGCATGGCAGCCCGCAGCCGGAAGGCCGAAGGGCGGGTCGCCAACAGGACATGACAGCAGCTTCGACACGTCGGTTGCCACCACGCCGAGAAGAGAAGCAAAGGACTGGCGGCCCGCAGCCCATGAGCGGCCGAAGGGCGGACAGCCAGATCGCGAAGGCTCTAGCACCGAAGCAAAGCCCCCCCTGCAGCAAAGAACGAGACGGTGAACAGTGCTGCACGGATGGCACCCAGGAAGACCTACGACAGCGGCAACAAGGACACTGGGATGATGGGCAGCCCGCAGCCAGTAGGCCGAAGGGCGGGCTGCCAGAAAGGCACGACAACTGCTACGACAAGGCAACGAGCACAGGGCGAAGGAGAGAAGCAAAGGTCTGGTAGCCCGCAGCCCATGGACGGCCGAAGGGCGGGCTGCCAAACAGCGACTCCCCCAGCACCCAGGCCAAGCCCCTAAGTAGCAGAAGACAAGATGGAGCACCGTGCTCCGTGGCAGGCCCCCGAGAGGTGCCGCCGCCTCGCGTGACAGGCTAAGCAGAGCTGCCGACCAGCCTGGTCGGAAGAAGCTCGAAGCTGAGAGAGGACGAAGATCAGAGAAGGTTGAGCACCCCCCAGCTTGCGAGCCGAAGGGAGGGGTGCTCTGCGCAAAGAAGACACGGAGGAGACGCTCGGCGCCCACAAGCAGGCGTCCTTGGGACGGGCTTCGGCGCGGCGCGCGCCGTGGAGCCCTTATTGAAAGGGTCTTGAAAGGGGGAGGAGGGAGGGAGGGAGGGAGGGAGGGAGGGGGAGGGAGGGGAGGGAGGGGAGGGAGGGGGGAGGGAGGGAGGGAGGGAGGAGGAGAGGGAGGAGGAGGAGGAGGAGGAGGAGGAGGAGGAGGAAGGGAGAGCGGTGTAGGGTTGTCTGGAGGCCCACTTGGACAACCTCTGGGCCCCTCGTGGAAGCCTCTGGAGGCTTCATGAGACTCGGCTCTCTAGGCTGTCCGCGGGGAGCCTCTCCGGGGGCCTTCACGGGATGACGCTGCCCGGAGGAGCCTCTTGACTCTCGAGAGGCTCCTGGAAGCACGTTGGGCGGCTTGGAAGCCTCTTTTCGGGCCTCTTGTTTGGCAACGTTGGGGCTTTGTGGCCGGTCTTGGCCGGAGCCATCTCGGGGCTCTCTCCTGAGCTGTCTTGAGAACCTCGTGAAGACCTTGAGACCCCTCTTCGGCCGTCCTGGGGCGCTCTGGAGGGCCCATTGTGCCTTCACGGAAAGACCTGGGAGAACCATTGGGCCGCGTGGGTGTCGGAAACCCGAGAAAGCGAGAAGGCCTAACACAATCAAAAGCCATAAGAAAATATATGGTTGTTGATTATGTCTGGCCCTCACGGACGCTCTCCTGATGCCCTCGGGGAACTACTGGGGGGCTTCTTGGGGCAAGGTTGCATCTTCGTGGGCGGTCTCGGCGCCGTCATGGGCCGTCTGCAAGCCCTCTTGGGCCGTCTTGAGGGCCCGTGGGGCAGTCTTCTGGTGAACTTGGGCGCCTTCTGGGGGCCCTGCTGGGGCGCCATGGGGCCCGACTGGGCCGTCTCGAACCTCCGTGGAGCCGACTTGGGGCGCTCTGGAGGGCCTCTTCCGCCTTCAAGGGGCGCGGTCTGGGAGTGGCATCGCTCTCTTGAAGCCCTCTTGGGGCGCCCCCAAGCTCTGTTGGGGCCGTCTTCGGGTTCTCTTAGGCCGTCTTGTGGCGCTGTGGGGGCCCTCTTGGGCAGTCTTAGGGCGACTGGGGATGCTCCTTTGTTAGTTCGGGCGGTGAAGGGCTGAATGAGCGAGCACACTGAAGACCTTCAACAACCTGGCGACAACCAGCGAACTCTGCATCTGGAGACCCTCTTGGGGGTCCTCTTGAAGCGCACTTGGGCGGTCTTCGAGTGCCCTTTGGGTCGTCTTGCAACATCTCGGGTACGCCTAGCTGGCCATCGCTCGGACGTCCATTCCCTGTGCTTTTTCTGATTTCGTGCGTGGTTTTCTCGCCAAGTGATCAAGGATGCTCCTCGATGTTCCTCGCCGAAGGAAAAATGCACACGTCCGAGCGATGCCAAGCTAGAGCGCTTTTAGACTGTCTTGGGGCCATACGGCGTCTCCGAGGCAGTTCTGGAGGCCTCTCTACCACTGCGGGAAGCCCACGGCAGCCCCCAGGATCGCCAAGGGGCCTCTGGAGCTTCGCCTGGAGCTCAGGGTTTCATAGGGCCGGGGACCCCAGGAAAAAACGCCCCACCCATCCCCCCCCCCCGCCCGCCTTACGAATTTGGCCCGCACCGGGCCTCTCGGGCAACCCTCCAGACGACCTCGAAGAACCCCACGAGAGCCCGAAGACGGCCCCAAAGGGCTCCAGGCATTCTGGCGCACTCCCGAAAGACCCTAAAGAGCCCCAAGACGGTCCACGACGACCTCAAAGAAGCCGTCATACCCCCCAAGATCGCTCCAAAACGTTCCAAGAGGCCTCCAACGTCTCAATTTTGGGTTCTCCCGTTTTCGGCCTCCCGACGCTCTGAGACGGCGGTCTTCTGGGCGTCCGAAGTCGCCTGGGAGGCTCGAAAATCGCCCCACAACCATCCAAGAGGGATTCCATGCAGTTCAATAGAGCCCCAACACGGCACAACAAGGTTCCAAGATGGCCTAAGAGCCCCATGACGGCCCAAGATGGCCCCAAAACACCCTCCGAAGCATTCCAAGTCGTGACCCTGTCGTTCAGGGAGACCGCGGTTGGAGGCAGGGTGGCCCGAGGAAGCCCCCAGAGCCCCCCAGAAGACGCCCAGGAGGCTTGCAGAAGGCCTTAAGAAAGACTGAGAAACTTTGTTGAGGCCCCCAGAGGCTCTCCAAGGAGGAGCCTCCGCAAAAAGAGCTGAGGAGGATGGGGAGAATACGCATGGCATGGCGAGAATGTGGATACAGAAACATGGAGGGCAAATAAAGAACAACCTGATTATAACGGCGATCCCGTAAAAAGGCAACAAGCAATTATCGCTGCATTCTCGGCTTGACCTTCCTGCAACTCCGCCTGCATGCGGAACTTCAAGGACCAAGGTGCATGGCGCGAAGCGCCTATGCAGCCTTATATATATGTGTGTATATGCATACTATATATAGAGAGGTATATATATACATGTGTGTATGTAGTTACCCTCCACTACTCCCAACACTGGGGGCGGTCCTGCTCGTAGCTGTGAGGCAACATCAGCGCGAAACAAAATATTGTGCCAGGCAAGTAGTGCTGCACTGACGACACAGTGTCGTCTGTGATGATCTCGGTCGGGTCCCCAATGTTCCACTGCTGGTTGCTGTTGTTGACATTGCAGGCGTGCATGAACAGCGATCCCCTGCAGCAGCGCTACGCATTGCGCAGAGCATCCCCTGCAATACTGCGACGCTGTGTGGTCGGACTGCGCGAACAACCAAACATCTGCCATCAACGACCATAAGATATAATTACCGAAGACCCAGACACCGCAAATAAGAACACACGAATAACTGTTACTGCACTAACCCCTCTCTGTTATAACCGCAGGCCGATCTGCACCTGCCCCTGGACATGTGCAATCGTGATGTCATGCAGCTCCTGGGCCCAACAACGATCGCACACCATAAAATCATACCTTTCGGTGCAAGTGCGGGGCCGCCCCTGGACATTGCATATGCAAATGTCACATGTCAGCGGGCTCTATGTCACGAATCTTGCGAAACGTCTCGAAATCATTGCGAGCCCGCCAACCCAAGAATTCCGCGCGGACCTGCGAATTTGTACATGCATGGATTTGTTTGCTCTCCCAGGGTCGACATGTGCTCTCGGCTCTAGGGCCACATGTTGCTTAACATTTGACAGTATTGGCAACTCTGCGCCAGTTGACCCCCCCCAGGCACCGACAAACACAATCCCACGACGAACGACTGAAATCGCGGACGATCGTGCTCGTAATGAACGGGGAGATCGTCCTCAAGCTCGGGTGGCAATTTGCACGTTCCCCGCCCATATCGTAAGCCTAAACTGTTTTTGCTATTAGTGACACGCCTCCGCCGCCACACCTCCCGCCAGAGTCAGACTCAGACTCATTGACACCGACCTCGTTCACACTCAGGCTCACGTGTATGTACTCAGACTCGGCGTGCTCAGACCACTCCCGCTCAGATCCACGCGCAATCATATTATCCCCAATCAGACTCCTACACACGCACGGACAACTTAGACTTAGGTCATGCACACCTGGACTTGCTCATACTCAGATTCACGCACGCTCAGATCCGTCGACACTCAGCTACACATGTGCAAACCAGCTCATGCATGGACTCACGCCCGCTCAGAACCCACGCGCACGGATCAATTCACAGCCGGCTTTCCACGGCCTCCGCGACGCAGCTTGCATGGCGCTTGGGCCTCCGAATGGGGGCGACGGACGGATGTGGTCCACGGGCCCCTTCGCGCTCAGATTGTGGGGGCCTCTCAGAGCGAATGGTCGTTTGCGGCTGTGGCCACGCGCCTTTTCAGAGTCCGACGATCGTCACGATGCTCAGCAGGATTGGCACTTGGACCTCTCAAGGGGGGTGCCGACAAAGGGTGTGCGTTCAACGGGCCAGCTCGCGCACATACAGCGTGGACACCTCGGGCGGAAGGGAGGTTGGGTCGAGCAAGGGTGTTCCACGGGCTCGGTCGCGACTACATTCTGGAGACGTCATGGCTAGAACTGCTGCCGTTTGCGGATGTGGGCGCATCTTTTCCCCTACGAAAGCAATGTACAACGTTCAAAGACGACTCTTCCCAAACAAACTAGCTGGTGCGCTGCCGGAGACGGAGCTGGGCAAGAGAAATTGCCTCCCGTGGGCTTCCGTGACTTCCCGTGGCTTCGCATTGCCTCCCGTTGCCTCCCGTGGCCTCCCTCTGCCCTCCGTTGCCTCGCGTCGCCTCCCGTGGCTTCCCGTAGCTTCACATTGCCTCACGCTGCCTCCCGTGGCTTCCCGTGACCTTCTGTTGCCTCCCGTGGCCTCCCGTCCCCATCCCTGTCCATGTCCCTCTCCCTATATCCTCATCCGTTTTATCCCTGCTCCTACCCTGTCATCTCTATCCCGATCCCCATTCCATCCCGATCCTGCTTCTATCCCTAGAACCCACCCACGACCCCCGCGCACCTCCCTGCCCCTATCCCCGTCCCAGTTCCTCCATCGTGGCCCCCCATCGTGGGTCGATCGGCCAAGGTCATCTGGACGTCTCGCATCGAATTGCCGCGTGACTGTGGACGCGTCTCTTTTCAGAGCCTCCTGGCCACCGCGGTGTAGCAGGCATGGCGCTTGGTTATCCCAATGGGGGTGCCGACTAGATGTTTGCCACTGGCTGTTCGCGCCCAGATGATGTGGACCTGTCGAATCGAAGTGTCGCTTGCGACCGTGGGCGTGCCTATTGTCAGAGCCCCATGGCCAGCGCGATGTAGAAAGCATGTCACTTGACTCTCCCAAGGGGGTGCCAACCAGGGGTGCTGGACAAGCCCGTTCGCGCCCGGACTGCGGGGACTCCTCGACCAGAGATGCCGTTTGTGGCCGTGGGCGCGTCTCCTTCCAGAGCCTCCTGGCCAGGCATGGTACCTGGGCCTCCCAGAAGGGTTGACGACCAGAAGTATTCCACGAGTCCGCTTGTGGCCAAATTGCGGGCAAACGCCTGGGTGCATGTCACGGGCCCGTTAGCGTCCAGCTGTGTTTTCCTGGCCATCGCTCGGACGTCCACTCCCTGTGCTTTTTTCGGTTTCGTGCGCGGTTTTTTCGACAAATGATCAAGGATGCTCCTCGATGGTCCTCGCCGAAGGAGAAATGCACACGTCCGAGCGATGCCAAGGCCCGTTAGCGTCCAGCTGTGTGTTCACTCTCAAGCAGAACGCCACCGCGGTATAGCAGGCGTGGCACCCGGGCACTCCAAGGGAGAGCCGCCAAGGGGGTGTGTCTTGGGTCCGTCCGCATCCAGATGTTTTGCCACTCCCAGGTCGAAAGCCAAGCTTGGCACCCAAGACTCCTCTCCTTGCAGAGTCCCACGATCATCCCGACGCAGTTGGCATAGCACTTGCCCCAACGGAGAGTCGACCTCGTTCCCTGGCGCGGGGAGCGCGCCAAGGGCTGCGCCGGAGGCGCCGCCAGGGGGCCCCAGCACGGATTCAAGAAATCCGAGCGTAGCGCCAAAAGCTTATATGTTTATGCAATGTGTTTTCTCCTTCGACTCCAGGGAATGCTCCCCATCGTTTGGCTCAGGTGACACCGTGAGCTTATCTACTGAAGGGGCGTCCACGACGCCCTCAGCCCACACACCTCCGATACACCACCCTAAAGCTATGTGCATGTGGGGCCACACGTAAAACGCGCGCGCAACTGCATTAAGACACACCACATATCTCAGCACGGCCGCACAGACTGCGTCAAGGTCTTGGGACAATCTGGGAAGAGGCAGAAACAGGAGGCAGAAGAAGGGCGGACAACACGTGGCGCGCAAAAGCAAGCGCAGGCAAGACAACGAGAAAAGCAAGTACAATCGCGGCGCCCGTCTACTCCAGGCTCGCCGGATTCCAGGCAGTTCCCCCGCCAAATTTTCAAGATGCCAGCAACGCTGTCGAATGTCCACTGCTGGCTCCTCCACATCCGCCTCTGAGCTTTCGAGCTCAACATGTTGTAATATCACAACCTTGCAAACTGTATTTTACCGTGCCTGCGTCCTACGAACTCTCGTTCCATTCCTACCACTCCTCACCCGATCTTGCAGTGACGCCATTACAATCAAATATACATTGGATGATGGTGACGTTGACGATTACTTTCATGACGACGATGGTGATGATGAAGATGGTGGTCTTGATGATGATGCTGATGATGATGATGAGATGATGTTGCGATGGTGATGTTGACGATGCTGACGATGATGATGGTGATGATGGAGATGGTGATGACGATGATGATGATGTGGTGATGATACCTCGACCGTCTCACCATTGCTCACACGATGGGTACAGCTGCCCCGCGGCCCTGCATGTCAGCATTCAACGATCTTGACAGGAGACGGTGCTCGCGCGCTTCAGTCTGGTGTACCCTTGTGCGCTCACCAGCGAGGCCAGCGTATGGAAACAATCGCAATGCAAGATCGTGACATTGGCATCGATATCGCAATCCCACGCCTCCATTTACCTCCTTCTCCTCTAGGTCCCCATTCTCCGCCTAATCATGCAACTCCACCTCCTCTTCTCTGGATGCTACTCCCTCTCCTCATCCCCCCGGGCTTCCTCCTGCGCCTCCTCCTCATGTTTGAGTTCTCCTCAGCCTCATCTCCCTACCCCTCCCCCTCTGTCCCCCCTTCTCTTCCCCCTGTCCTGCTCCTGCTCCTGCTCCTGCTGCTAGTCCCTCTACCACTGCTCCTGCTCCTGTTCCTGCGCCTCCTCCCTCCCCCCAAAATGCCAACGTATCGTTCCGCTGCCAGCGTTTGCTATGCTTCCACCCACGCCCAGCCAGTTGCCAGCGTCGCACTTGTACATCCCGACGTGAGCAAAATCCTGAGCGCAGGCCAATGCGCGGCGACCATCCACCCAGTCATGCGTAGTCGATCCGCAGGCCAGTGCGCGGCGATCATCCGGCGACGACGACGACGACGATCTCGACGACGACGGCGACGATGACGACAGGCCCCAGGACGCCGCTCCAGCGGGCCTGCTACGACGGGCGGCCTCTGGCACCCACGGCTTCGAAGGTCGTCGCCGCCGCCGCCGTCGTCGCCGTGCGGTCGTCGTCGCCGCCTCGGTCGTGGTCGTCGTCGTCGGCTCCGCCTCAGTCGTGGTCGTCGTCGTCGTCGTCGTGGTCGTCGTCGTCGTCAGCGCGATCGTCGTCATCGTCGTCGTGGTCGTCGCCATCGCCGTCGTGGCCGTCGTTGCCACCACCGCCGCCGCAGCGTTGTCTCACGCACACACACACACAATCAAAAACCGATCTTCCTACGCAGGCATGTCCATCGCGCGCAGGGCGACGCCGTGCAAGCGAGGGCACGGGGACGGGCTGAAGGCGCGGCCGCCACGGGACCACACCGATGATCAATCCGAGCGTGCATCAGACTGGCCAGGCCAGGGCCTCGAGGGCGACGCGCGAGAGACGACAACGGCGAAGGACAGGGGGAGGCCGGGGCCGACAGGGGCGGAGGACGGCCAGCATCGCACACGGATAAGAAGGAAGAGTAGCCGTAGGCCCGCCGAAAGCAGCGGACGCGGGCGAGAAGCGCACGCCTCGGGAAGCCTGCGCGCATCGGTCTGTGCACGCAAAAAGGGCTGCACGCACGATCGACGTGCGGCTCGGTCGGCTGTGCGCATCGGTGTGCACATGCTCGAACACACCTTCGCCCGCTTACGCCAATGGCACCCACACGCACACACAAGCACAAACACGGCGACATTCGCACACACACACACACACACAGGAGCACGTACATTGTAGACGCAGGCGAACGAACACGCAGACATATGACACACACAGAGTTATCCCTTCGTGACCTGTTGGTCCAACCCAGCGAGGGCATCAGCGGGATACGCCGAGCTGACTACCACAGAGCGTGTGCCGATGGGAGTCCAACGCTCGAAGCCTCGAAGTCCGAGAGGGGGAGCATGCGTGTACGACAAGAGACAGGAAAGGAGTCCATAAACACACCAGACCCAGGACAAAAAACACTCTTCCACAAAGCGACGCCCTCCGCCAGCCCAAACTGAAGAACATCTAAGGGTAACCTCCCCCAGGATCCACCAGAACATCCAACAAACACGAAGGTCATTCGGGAACCCTCTCCCAACCGATCTCGATCTTCTCTGCTACACGTAATAGTGACCCTGGGCAAGAGTGGCCTTTGGCGCGCGACTTAACGGGGGGCGCGGGCGCCGCTATCGCTTCGCGTTCAGCGATCGGGGGACCCCACTCGGACTGCACAAGAGGTCACTCCAGCGAAAGGCCACTCTTACACGTCGGTCGGCAAAAGCAGGTGAAAGCATGAAGTGGGAAGGCGAGTGAAGTAGATAGGGTTCAGACCCTCCCACAGAATAACACAACACAGCAAAACAAGGGCTCCCAACTTCGCGCTTCGCGCTGCGCGAAGCGCGAGCAACTTCGCGCTCTCGCGCCGCCCCCCCAAAGGGAGGGAAGGAAACCGAGGAGGAGGGGGAGAAGGAACAAGGACCGCGAAGCGCGAACAACTTCGCGCCCTCGAGGGCGCCCTTGTGGAAGTAGGAGGGCGCTCCGTGCGGCTCTCTTGGACCTGCGCTGCACCCCCCCCCTCCCGGGCGCGCGGAGCGCGCCGGGCGGCGGCGCCGCCAGCGCCGCCAAGGGGGAGCCGGCGCGGACCCAGGAAATCCGCGCGGAGCGCCACGAGTCTAGGCTCATGGTCGGGGGCGGCCACGGGGGGGGGCGTCCAAGAGGGCGGGGTGCAAATCATGGCCGGCGGCACGTGCGCGGTCCAGGGGGGGGGGCCAGGGACGTAATGAAATAAGAGGAGGCGCCATGAGATCTGGGGAAATAGCATGGCCCACGCCATGATATCCACTCCCCCCATATAGTCATCACCCCCCCTCTTCTCCGCCCCCGATCTGGTGTTTTCACTTTTTCGAATCCTGTTCCCCCCCTTGCGGGAATTCTCATCCTGCATGTCCCTCGAAGCGAATCGACGCTGAATCGACGACAACCGACGTGCAAAGGTCGCACGGTGCAACAACAACAACAACAACAACACCAACAACAACAACAACAACAACAACAACAACAACAACAGCAACAGCAACAGCAACAGCAACAGCAACAGCAACAGCAACAGCAACAGCAACAACAGCAACAACAACAACAATTACTAGCACGTGGGGACACACCGTTCTCACCACTGCCAGGGTTTTCATAGGAGGCGGGCAATACCCCCACTTTGTGGGGGGGCCGGTTCAAGCTCTACCAAATTTCCAAACGACTCTTCGCCACCACCCACACCCAGCTTCCCGCCCTATGACGTTCGGACACTTCACTTCGTGGCATGCGGACGACCGTGGCTACTATTCAGGGCCCCGCGGCCGACGACGACGGCGTGCGCGCGCGAAGAAAAAACGAATGTGTCCCGCATGGTATTATTTGACAGGGATGATGGCCCTGGCAGGTGCGCAACCGTTGTCGCAGAAGTTCGAAAAAGTTGCTCGCAAAAGCCCGTTTGACAGAAATGTTTAAAAAGTGTTGGGTTTCCTACGAATCCGCAAGAGCGCGCGGGATGAGATTTTGACATTTTTTTGTTGAAAAACCATTGGTTTTTTGATGTTTTTATGTTAAAATCGCTGCGAACACTAAGGTTTTGGAAGGATTTCGTCTTGCGCGCGCGAATGTCCACTTTACCTTATTTTTTGCAAGGGATTCTTGAAATTTGATTATATTAGAACAAGAAATGTCATTTTATATTGTTTTTTGCAAGGGAAAGCGGATTACAACAAAACAACCGGATCCTGTACACACCCTCTTTTCTGAGGCTTCCTCACGAAAATGATGAAAATGTAGCTGCGGCCTAGGCGGCGCAGGGGGGGCGCGCACCAGGGGGCCCAACAACAATTATTCTTTAGAATAAATAATGTTCAACAACAACAACAACAACAACAACAACAACAACAACAACAACAACAACAACAACAACAACAACAACAAAACACGTGACGGGGCTCGCCGAAGGGCAAGCCAGCGCTGGCCCCACCTCCAAGAGGGGGCTGCACGGTTTCCCCCGGGGCCGTGGGCGACCCGAAGAGGAGGAGGGGGAGGGGGAGGAGCAGGACGTGGAGGAGGAGGTGGAGGAAAAGGGGGAGGGGGAGGAGGAGATGGAGGAGGATATGGAAGAGAAGAGGGATGGGGAGAGGGAGATGGAGGAGGAGGATATGGAGGAGGAGGAGGATATGGAGGAGGAGGAAATGGAGGAAGAGGAGGAGGAGGAAATGGAGGAAGAGGAGGAGGAGGTTTGGCAAAACAAGACAAACACGGCGGTGGCGGGGCCGGCCAAAAAAACAGGCCAGCGCCGGCCCCACCTACAAGAGGGGGGCACGGCCGCCAGCGCCCGGGCCCGGGCCGACGGCCTGGGGAGAGTAAAAGACCCAGGGGGACATAGGGGGTATCTACAGCTATTAAGAGTGTTCGGCACAAAAGTAAGATGTTGCTGTATTATGGTTGCGTATACAATATATGATAGAGATTTTACATAATGGTATATCGAGAATCATATATTTTATAACAATTTCAGTCTATATTTATTGAGATCAACTACTGAAGGTTATCTCTTACACCTGTTACTGGATTACGGCTTTTGCGCGTCACTATGCTATTACGGCCGATCCCACTTTCCCAAGTCTCATGTTAGTTGATGGGTGTTTTCTGTTGTTTGGGTGTTTGTTGTTTTGTCTTGATGGTTTGCTATGTGCCATGTTTGTTTGCTTTTCTCTGTCTAAGGTCTCATCTCGGCGGCCGCTCAGGCATCACAAATATATAAATGTAGTATTGTCATCAATCCTGCTCACCGTCGAAAGCAAGGACCAACCACTTGCACAAAACCACGGTCGCCAAAGTACGAACTTGGCAACTCTCGGAAACCTCCATGAGGAGGCCTACTAAGTTCTCATCTGCGCAACACCGAAAGTGCCGCGGGTTGCCCACACTGGGGCTTGATCGCACGTCGCATGTTCTATAAAATGCAGTTTGGGGCTGTACTTCCACAGCCGCTCCTTTCGTGCGAAGGCCTCGGCTGACAAGATTGATGCCATCTTTGCCATTGCATCCCGTACTTGGGCAAAGCGTCTTTTCGCGATCAAAGAAGAACAGCCCTCGACACCAACAGGGAAAAGTCAACCAAGTGCTCAGCCAATGCAACTTTTAACTTGTCATGCCCAGTAACGTTGGGAAGCTTCTCGGCTACAACAAGGGCATATTCGGCAAGGTATCTGAGTGCAGCTGCTTTTGCTTTTCGTTTTGGGTGCCCCCCATCCGCTCGCAGCCGCTCTTTCGTAAGATCACCATGTATCCTTACTGGGCACTTTGTCGTTTTGTACCAGTCTCTCAAGTGAGCAGGAAGAATAGCGACGTCACCCTCGATGTTGGACCCTCCCCAGTTGCGGCATCCGACGGTTCCCCAAAGGTTACCGGTGATCGAAGCCGCCATGCCAAGGTTGGCAGCACGCAGCACATCTACAAGCACGCCTTCTAAACGAAATCCAACCACAAACGAAAATAGAAATGGCAGTCCCAAGCCGTTGTCTGCAATACATATATATATATATATGTAGCACGCAGGTTTCATGCTACTGTCGCAGACGCCATGCACATCCAGCACGTCCGTTCGTTCTCGTTCCACTTCGATCAACCGAACAGCTCGCTGTGCCATGCCCCCCCCCCCCCCTTGCGTGGACTAAGCAACCACGCCAGCCCCCAACTATAGGACAGCGGTCTCGAGGAACAGGGGCGCCATCCCGGTTGTGATCAGGCGTCGTACCAACCAATAGCTGATTCATCGACCACGCGATCACTTGCAATCCAATGTTTAAGATGTCGTTATCGTATTTGTTCTTCCTGATGGCCGTGAACATAAATCGCTTGCATAGCGTCGCCCCTGAAACCAGTCAAGAGCTCCACGACAGGACCAGGAGAGACCCATGATCGTACATGCCCCAGCATCTCCGTGAAAACCTATAAAGGGTAAGACGGTTGAACATGTCAGGACGAGTTGACGGATGCGTTTGCACGAATGGAGCGTTTGCAATATTGTTCCAAAGCTCCAACGCAGCACCTGGCACACCAGTCATGCATTTCCATCGGCAGCCCGGCCTCTCTTTGTAGAGCCCATGGAAAAACTTGCGCGGCAATAGAAACGGACGCGGTCGGGCGCCCCTCGAAGCACGGCAAGGCAACTCGACGTAGTCGAGGTCGGGGGCGCCAGCTGGTTTTCCAAAGAAATTCAAAAGGGCTCTGTGCATCGTCGACGGGTGCGAGCCATAGTTCCCTGCGTGGGAAATCGAATCCAGCCCAGATGCACCTTGCCGTCGGGCCCCAAGCCCGCACCCCTGAACTCGGCGACTGTTCATCTTGCCTGCTGCCCAATCCCTCCGAAGACTGCGCGTCGGAGGGCCTGCTTCTGAAGACGGCGGTGCTGGAATTTCCTCGTTGGGCCTCCGTCGCAAGTGCGAACTGCCATGCGATTGATCGCCGACGTCGCACCCAGCATTCTGCACGTCGTCGCATGAATCTCGGGGCCGTTCCCTGATACCCCCAGCGGAATGGGCTGCCAGATTAAGGCAAACGCACGCAACATGGAGAAGAAGGCACCGCATTGCCTCCAGCCGAAAAAAACGGTTACGATTGGACTCGGTCACGCCTGCGCGAGTGCACGTTTCGGTTTTGATCTGCGCTGCGGTTGATATGTTGTTGTTGCGACCGGTGCTCTTTCTATCTCTCTCTCTCTCTCTCTTTCTCGATCTCTCTCTCTCTCTCTCTCTCTCTCTCTCTTTCTCTCTCTCTAGATCTCTCTCTCTCTCTCGCATTCTTTCTCGCTCTCTTCGTGCAACGGCCTGGCGAGTCCAGAGGGAACGCGAACGTGGCCAGCTAGCTTATTGCACATCCTGCTTCTCACAAATATGTTCGCTTCGATGTTGGTTGTCGTTTCATGCGACTGCAACCCAGACGCTACAACTTAGTATGAGTATCAGTTCTGCTTGTTGTATGCTATTGTTGTTGAGTCTGCTGGCGCTGTCATGAGAGCATTCGATCTTACTTGCCCGGTGACCCTGAGGAGGTTGGCGGAAAGGGCGCCTCACTTAGGGCGGGGGCTGCAGAGAATGCAATGCGAAGTCTGCGACTCAGAGCTGCACGAATCCTTTTCCCCCTCCTCCTCCTCATCCTCGCCCCCCTCCTCTGGGAACCTCCAGGAGCCTCCGAGGGCCCCCGGCAGCCCCCGAAAGCCCTCAGTGTTTCCTGCTCGGTGATCTGATGGCCTGGATCTCTCGAGTGCCAGCGCAGCGCTAGCCAGGGCGAACGGCCTCGCGCAACCCAAATTCGTCAACCCCTAAGACAACCCCATCCATCTTAGGCTTCGTCGGAAGCCGAAGTGAAAACACATGGAAAACCAAAGCCCACCGGCATTAGTCAGCCTTGCGCTTCCCGGCCTCTTTGCCAGCTTGCACATTGTCAAGATGAGAGAATCGACCCGCCCAGGTCAGGATGGTAGTGCGCATGCTCGTGGCATGCGGGCAACCCTAGGGATGTGCTTAGCGAGGTCGGCGACCAGGGCGGCCGCGCGCGTTTTCGCTGTCGCGTTCTTCTCCGCGTTCGCCAGGATGGTATTGCCCTCGATGGACACGGTCGCGCACTTGTCGAACTGCGCGCGAGGGTCCGTCTTCGGATCCTCGAGCTCACGCTGGATCTTCACAAGCTCGCTCTTATTCTCCCCTTTTTCACCTCGGGAACCATGCCGCCCCCTCGTTCTTGAAGGAAGCGCTGTCGAGGTTGTCGACGTCGCCCTGGGTCGCCTCACCGGCGTTCTCGACCGAGAGCTTGGCGGGGTCATCCTCCGTCATTGATCCCCAGTGCTCTGGAACTCTCCATTCCCCGTACTCCTCCTGTTCCGACCCCGTGAGGGAGTCGGCCCTGCTCTTCAACTTTTTCGATCCGCGCCAGTGCTGGGCCTTCAATGGTCCAAGGTGGCTGTCCATCTTCTCCATCGAGATCCCTATTCAAGTGTCCCCCTTCTTCTGGCTGGAGCTAACGGTGCGCGACGGGGTCGCTGTCGACGTGCCTTGCTGTGTCCGCATCTGACGCGCGAGGAATTTATCCAAGTACATTTGCCTCTGTTCTCCATTGGACTCCATCGCGATTTCATCTGGGTTCTGTTTCAGGACCGAGAGGCATCCGTACTTCGAGCGCTTGGCGGTCGAGTTGCTCCGGATTTTCTTGGCCTCCGCCAGTTCCGCTGGCGCGGGGCGCAACGTCGCTGAGCTCTGCTGCCTGCGACTACGAAGGCATCGCGTTTGGAAATGCCGCCGCGGATGCGCGATCCTGATTTGAGACCGACTGGCGACAGTTACATATTAGACCTGATAGGCTATGGAGGGCAAGTCGAAGCCGAATCAAACATCAAAAGCATATGCGCGTTTTTGACAGGAGACCAAAACCAAATCAAATATCAAACACGTTTTGTTTTCATGTTTGACTCGCTCTTGACCCCAAAACAAGAAATCATGACAAACAATGAGAAACCATGCGAAACAAATCAACTACCACACTCAAAAAGCGAGTCAAACATCACAGCGTTTGTGATTTTTGACTGTGCGTTTGACTTGCCCTCCTTGGCCTCCTTATCCCGCAACCCCGACGTTGTCCGGAGTGGGCCCTGGTTCCGGGCGTTTCGGTGCTTTTCCCATCGTTTCGTACCCTCCCCATTTCCACCCAGTCCTCATATGTTGTTGTCCTGCGCGTGCGCGCGCGCGTTTCTTCGCAGTCTGAACCGAGCGCCACTGCGCATTTTCAAAATCAAGAGAGGGAGACGCCGGAGCTTGCCGCGCGCACACGAGAGACGGACAAAAACGGGCGTCAAAATTAATGGAAAGTTTGCAGCCGAGGGCGGCCCCCCAAACTCTCGGACCAGGCCTCGCCTTCAGAACGCAAAAAAGTGCGCATAGTAAACTGGCATTTGTTGTACAGGCTTGATTTTTCGTCCAGGCGCCTGCGCATAATCACACGCAAGAGTGAGGTATGGGATGGGACTTCCGCGGATTCCTGGGTGATGTTGGGCAATTGTTCGGAAGCCGTGTTTTGGGCAATTGCGTTTTCCTGAGTCCCCATGATGTCCGAAACGCAACGCCATCAATTATTCCCCGCACAATGCTCGACTACGAACGGGTCTGCGGCTGCTGAACTGATAAATAAAAAGCTTCGACTGCAGACCGCGATGCGACTATCGCGAAAGGCACTCATTTCTTCCCGGAGCCTCTCGGCCTGCTTGTCCTCATCGAGCTCGGGCCCCCGCGGCGCAGAGTCGTCGCCCGAGGGTTCGAGATTATTCAGGAAGGCCCCAATGTCTCCATTCGGCTCCTTGAACTGGCTTGCAAGGTTGTCGAGCTGTGCTGGGGCTGGCCTGGGTGCAATGTGTGGCAGGCCGATTGCCGAAATTAGAATCGTCAGATCTACTGGGGTAGTCTCGGCGTAGGTGTTTCGGGAAGCTCCGCGAACCACGACGCGGCCACCCTCTGAAGAATTTTTTGGGCTGGCCCATGAGATCGAAATCATCGACGCTCGTGCCTACGTCCTGCGAGTCCACTTCCACGACCGCGACGACTGGATCCGCGGGCCCCGCGGCTCCCGAACCACGCCCGCGACCGCCGCCAGGCGCCGATATCGCGAGGCGCGAGCCATCCTGACTGAGTCGCCACGCAGGGACATATCTAGGAGATCTCCGATAGCTGAGCCCCCCCCCTGGCTGAAACACAGATGGCCGCGGAAAGCGCGGTCGACCACGAAGAGTGAAGGCGAGAAGGCAACCCGATGTACATGCAATGCGTCGTCGAGGCCTCGCGCCTAATTCCGCCGACCCTGGCGAAGCCGCCGATGGAACCGAACATGGCGATATCTCCAAATTAAAGACCCCACCCGCCCAGCAAATTCCTCATGCATAAGCAGAGAGGGAGAGAGAGAGAGATAGAGAGATAGAGAGAGAGAGAGAAAGAGAGAGAGAGAGAGAGAGAGAAAAAAAGAAAGAGAGAGAGAGA